GTGAGGTGGTCTTTAAATATAGAACTTCTTAACTTCCTACCATTGAGATAGCCTCAAAGTAAGGGATTAGCTCTCTAACTACCTAGCTGATTCTAAGGCCTTCTCATACTAACAACTTAACAGAAATAATAGATAACTTATTTGACTCAATCTTATGCTTAAGACCAGCTAACTGTTAACAACATGTTTGAGACTAGCTACCCTTAACAACTAACTGCTTGGCCGCTTCTTGTGGTTGGCCGAATCCTGCTCTCTGGGTTCCTGCTCTGCTGGGCCGCTCCATGGGCTTGCATGGGCCATACGTGATGGGCTGGGTATGTATGGACCCAATGTCAGTCCACGTACTTTGGGTTACGCGTGGGTACCCTCTTCGACCTTCGCGGCCCATCATTGCCCCCATCTTGAAGATGGACCTTGTCCTCAAGGTCCAGATTTATGTACTTCTCGCGCAACTCTTGGGAATTCTCCCATGTGGCATCTTCACTAGGAAGGTTCTTCCATTGGACGAGGCTCTCCTCCACGAAGGTGGATCCTTTCTTCACCCAACGATTATCCAAAATAGCGGCCGGTTTAGTGATGAGTTCCCCTTCCTCATTTATGGGTGGTAATTCCGTGCTTGTGGCAGTGGTGTCGCCCACCTGTCTTTTGAGTAGGAAAACGTGGAAAACTGGATGGATGCGCGAGCCCTCAGGAAGTTGCAGTCTATAGGCCACTTTGCCTATTCGTTTCTCCACTTTGTACGACCCATAATAGCGACTGGCCAGTTTGTGATAGGCCCCGCTTATGAACCGTCTACTGTCGGTATGGGTGGAGCTTGAGGAAAACCAGATCGCCCACTTGGAATTCRATGTCTCTTCTTTTAGCGTTGGCCATTTGGATCATGTGGTTAATGGCCGCATGCGGGTTTACTTTGAGTTGTTGCAAAATGGCATCGCGAGAGAGCATGGCTTGATCTACCTCTTCTACTGGGGATGTTCCACCTTGGTAATTTGGAATACGAGGTGGTGGTCTTCCATATAGTGCTTGAAAGGGCGTCATTCCGATAAATGAATGATAGGTGGTGTTATACTAGAATTCTGCCCATGGCAGGAAGGAGCTCCACTTCCGAGGTTGCTGAAAAACAAAGCAATGAAGATACTGCTCTAGACAACGGTTGACCACTTTTGACTGTCCATCAGTATGGGGATGGTAGGCGGAGCTCATATGCAATTTGGTACCAGACATCTTGAAGAATTCCCTCCAAAAGTGGCTGATGAATATAGGATCTCTGTCACTAACTATCGTCTTTGGCATCCCATGCAACTTCACAATTCCTTCTACAAACCTTTCAGCTACTACCTTCGCCGTATAGGGATGTGGCAAGGTCAAGAAATGAGCTGATTTAGTGAGGCGGTCTACTACCACAAAAATAGTGGTTTTGCCTTTGGAGGGTGGTAGTCCCTCTATAAAATCCATGGTAATGTCATCCCATACTTGGCAGGGAACGGGTAGTGGCTATAGCAGTCCTGCCGGGGGTAGAGTGTATGCTTTATTCTTTTGGCAAATGGCGCAAGAAACTACATATTGTTGAATATCTTTGTACATAGAGGGCCAATAGAACTGTTGTGCAATACGTTTGTATGTGCGTAGGACCCCAGAATGTCCACCATAGGGGGAGTCATGGAACTCTTGTAAGATTATAGAAGCGAGGGGGGACTGAGGAGGAATCACGACCCGGTTTTTATAACATGCCAGTCCATTTTTCCATGTGTAGAGAGCTCCAGGATTCTCCATTGCTTGCTTGCTGATGTGGATCATGTATGGGTGGTTGCTGACATCTTTCTTGATGGTGTCCCACAGAGATGTTTGAGGCATATAAAGAGTGTTAAGGCTAGGACTCCCCAAGACTCTCGAAAGTGCATCTGCAACAGAGTTTTCTCGTCCAGGCTTGTAGATGATTTCATAGTCGTACCCGAGCAGTTTGGATACCCATTTTTGTTATTCGGGTGTTCCAATGCGTTGCTCTAGTAGATACTTGAGGCTGTGCTGATCGGTCTGGACGTAAAACTTGCGGCCCAATAGGTAAGGTCGCCATGTTCGTATTGCCTAAACAATGGCGAGCATTTCTTTGGCATATGTGGACCAACTCTGTTTGTTGACGCCTAGAGCTCGGCTCATGAATGCAATGGGTCATCCCTGTTGCGTTAATACCGCTCCAATACCTGCTCCGGAAGCATCCAACTCAATGGTAAAAGGCTCCTCAAAATTTGGCATTGCCAATGTGGGAGTCGTGGTCATTGCCTTTTTTAAGGCTGTGAATGCTTCTTGGGCTTCGGTGGTCCATTTGAATTCACCCTTCTTGAGAAGATTCGTGAGGGCTCGAGCTATGATCCCATAGTTACGGACGAACTTCCTGTAATACCCTGTAAGGCCTAAGAAGCTTCGCAAGTCAGTAATATGAGTGGGTTGAGGCCACTTAAGCATAGCCTCAATTTTCCCTTGGTCTACCTTGACCCCGTGGGAAGTGACAATGTGTCCCAGATACTCCACCTCTGGCTGACCGAATATGCATTTACTAAATTTGATAAAAAATTGGTGATGCCTTAAAACCTCAAAAGCTGTTCGAACATGTTCAAGATGCATGTTCCAGTTGGGACTGTAGATAAGAATATCATCAAAGAAAACTAGCACAAATTTACGGAGATAGGGTCGAAAGACAAAATTCATAATAGCCTGAAATGTGGAAGGTGCATTACACAAGCCAAAAGGCATAACCAAATACTCATAGTGACCATTGTGTGTGCGAAATGCCGTTTTATGAATGTCCAGTGGGTGGATCCGTACCTGGTGATATCCGGATTGTAAATCAAGTTTGGTAAAAAAAGAAGCTCCATACAGTTCATCTAGCATATCGTCAACAGTGGGGATAGGAAATCTATCCTTAATGGTCATGGCGTTGAGTGCCCGATAATCGGTACAAAAACGCCAAGTCCCATCTTTTTTCTTAACTAGCAAGACAGGGGAAGAAAATGGACTTGTGCTAGATCGGATGAGTCCCAACCGTAACATATCTTGTACTTGTTTTTCGATCTCAGCTTTTTGGAAATAGGCATACCTGTACGGCCGGACGTTGACAGGTTCCGTTCCTCCTTTGAGAGTGATGCGGTGGTCTATCTCTCTTCGTGGTGGCAGTTGTGTTGGTTCTTGGTAGAGATCGCTGAATTCCGCCAACAGTTGCTGCATATCCGGGCTTAGTTATGGAGACACTTCTTTTGTGATTGCTTGGAGGCAGACGACAAATAACGAGTGTTCTTGTTTGATCCCCTTCGTAATCTGTCTGAAGGAGGCAGGCTGAATTGTTTGGTGGTCGATCCCCTTCAACAGCCGGTGTTGGTTGGCCCAAGAAAACTCCATCGTCATTCGCTTCCAATCACATGCCATAGTTCCCAATTGCTCTAGCCAATGGATTCCTAGTACCATATCCAACCCAATTAGTGGTAAAGAATAAAGTGTCAAGGTGAATGGAATACCTTGTAGAAGGACATGCACGTTCTCAAATCTTCCTCGGCACTTAAGGGGTTTGCCATTGGCTACCTTGACGTTGAACGGCTCGGTAGGTATTACTGGTAGGTGCAACAGTTCGGCTATCTTATTGTTGATGAAGTTATGGGTGGATCCACTGTCAATGAGAACAATCAATTCGTGTGATCCTACCTTGGCCGTGACGCGCATGGTTCTAGCTACTGACCAACCCGTGAGAGCATGTAGAGATATTTCCGGCTCCCTGCGCAATGCGGTGAAGCTTTGTTTGGCATCTTCTGGTTCGTCGTCGCTGCAATTCCCATTGAGCAGTAACAGTTGCGGTCCCTTGCATTTATGCCCGGGCCCAAACCTCTCGTCGCAGTTAAAACACAAACCTTGAGCACGCCTCCGCTGCATCTCTGTCCAAGAAAGACGTTTCAATGATGGGGGGGTCTTCGTCTTTGTCAGGAAAGAGTCACCAGCGGTCCTGGTAGCTGCATGTAGAGTCCTCTCCTGACGACGCAGCTGCTCATCCTTCATTCTGGCCAAGCTGATGGCCTCCTTCAAGGATTTCGGTTTGAACATCCGAATCCCGTTGGCTATGTCAGTTTTGAGCCCTCCCATGAATGTACCGACTAGCGCCTTCTAGGTCCATCCGTGCACCCTATTGCCCAGTCGTTCGAACTCTTTCTGATAGTCACGTAGAGACCCCGTTTGTCGTATTTTGGATAACGACTCATCGAAGTCTTCACAGTTGGTTGGGCCGAAACGGGCCCAGAGTTCTTCTACAAAAATCTTCCATGTTACCTCCTTTCTGTCTTCGATATAGGTCCAGCGAAGCCATTGCCACCATTGGTTTGCTTCTCCTTCCAAATGGAAGGAAGCTAGTGACACTTTCTGTGGATCCTCGATGTGTTGGTATTCGAAGAACTGATCAACACGGGCAAATCATTCGGTTGGGTCATCACCTGCATACTTGGGAAACTCAAGCTTGGCTAACTTTGAGGAAAACGTGGGTCATCCTCCTTCTGTATTGTCACGGGACTGTCCGTAGGAGGACTATCCACTGCGTTCATTAGCGTGGCTCGTAGATGGTTCCTGCCGTGCCAACAAGACTTCAGACATCTTACTAATAGCAGCCTCAAGCTGGTGTAACTTGTCATTAACACCTAACTCGAACCTACTCAAACTTGCTTGGAGTCCTCCAAGCCCAACTTCCAAACTCTCAATTCGTTTTTTGTTGGTTGCCATGGAGCCTAGCTTTGATACCAATGTTAGGTCTCAATCAAAGCTAGAAGCTAAAAGGGTATTCTTCTTAAGGTGAGAATAAGACTATTAATTTTCAACTCCCTTCACCATGTGGTGAGGTGGTCTTTAAATACAGAACTTCTTAATTTCCTACCATTGAGATAGCCTCAAAGTAAGGGATTAGCTCTCTAACTACCTAGCCGATCTCAAGGCCTTCTCATACTAACAACTTAACAGAAATAACAACAACCTAACAGAAATAATAGATAACTTATTTGATTCAATCTTATGCTTAAGACCAGCTAACTGCTAACAACATGCTTGATACTAGCTACCCTCAACAACTAACTGCTTGATCGCTTTTTGTGGTTGGCCGAATCCTGCTCTGCTGGGCCGCTCCATGGGCTTGCATGGGCCATACGTGATGGGCTGGGTATGTATGGACCCAATTTCAGTCCACGTATTTGGGTTACGCGTGGATACCCTCTTCGACCTTCGCGGCCCATCAACCAGCCCCAGCCCCAGTCCCAAAGCTGTACAAAGTTAGCCCTTTTTCTGTCCGGCGGTAGCAATCCCTCAACGCCGCGCTTGAAGTCCAATCCCTCCACCCCGCGCTTGCAATCAGAACCAGTTTCAAGCCCCAGCTTGCGGTGCCGAACGACCGCAGCGTCTACTGTGCCACCACCATCTTCGCATGACAACAGTCCCAAGCTCCAATGCAAGACTACAGTGACAACAAAAAGCCCCCGACTATTTCAGGGCTCCAACCCATCGTCTCCCAGATCGCCTTCGACATTTTCCCTCCTCAAAGGGGGTTGGTTTCGTACTGGGAATCTTGGTGCCGGGAGAAGGAGACCGGTTTTTCTGATGTTTGGAAAACGAAAACATCAGAAAAAAAGAAAAAAAATAAACAATGAGGTGAAAGGTGGGATGGAGGGTACCGCTGGTTGCCGTTGTAGGTGCCGATGCCAGAGGAGAAGATGACTCTGCCGCCGGTTTCTCTGATATCTGGAAAACGAAAATATCAGAAAAAAAAGAAAAATAAAAAATGAGGTGAAAAGATGGGCTTGATAGTACCGTCGGTTGCCGTTGTAGGTGCCGGTGCCGGAAAAAAGAAGATGCTCTGGCGAGTGAGAAGTAGGGGTCAGGCGAAGCTGTCGAATGAAAGGTTTGAACGAGTAAAATGGGACTTTTGAGGGATAACGGAACGTCCGTTAGCCTCGCACGCGCTGTTTCGCGTCTCTCGTGTGAAAGGACAGGTGGCGGATGGTGAGAGTGTGGGGCGTTTGTGGGGAAAAACTGGGTGGGGCGCAGATTTGAACTCAGCCAAACCCGGGCTATTAACTTCGTATCTGGATGTATCAGCCGCACATCGGGAACAACGGCAACCACGGTATAAACTACGTGAAAGCTTTGTCATCATATTTTGGACACAGAAAACAACTCAGAAAACATCGGGATTCATGTGCGCTCTCTTCCACTGAAGCTAAAAAGTAAGTGCGCTCTCGTCCACTTCACTGTTCCACCTTCTACTTCTGTGAAACCCTACACTATTTCGGTCGGTGGTGGAGAGAGAGAGAAATGGCGATGGCAGGTCTATACAGGCGAGTGCTTCCGTCTCCTCCTGCGATCGAATTCTCATCGTCGGAAGGAAAGGTTAGTTATAGTTCCTTCGGTTCCTACTATCTGTCTTTCGTCGTATGATTACCATATCTTTGTTACATTTCGTTTCATTACGAAAAGAATCCATGTTCACAGAAGCACATTGACCGTATTTTTGTTAACCAAACATGTAAATTACAATTCTTATTTTACTTATATTTCACTTGGTTTCGGAGACTGAGTGATGACTTGTGTTTCAGGTTTTCTACAATTAGGGAAATTTTCTGAATATCGTGGTAATGGTTATACCTCTTGGTTTTGATTGAATTGTTAATTGGTATTAGATTCAATCGGTGAGTAGGTAAAAAGTTCATAGGAGGGAAAGGCAAAAAAGCGGAATTGCTTTTGTATGGGTTCCAAACTTCCTATGACAATACATGGCTATATACTTCAATAATGTGAATTTGACATATTCGAGCAATGAATCTGCATCTGCTGGAATTCACATTGTACCCTCGGATGGTATACAATTCCACGTAAACCGAGAGTTCGTGCGAGGATGTCGGTGGACAAAGTAAAAGAGAGGCATTGGCAACCCTTATCCTCGGGGGGGGGTTATTTATGTGGAGTTACTCAAAGATGGGTTTGCTTATGGAATCTGTACTGTCTTAGATCCAGAATCCATAGCTTGCAACGGAGGTCATGCGCCAATTGCCAAATCAGTGACTTTGGTGGTTTTTGGAAGATCTTAGATATTGTTATTGAGTTTGGAAACTGATTAGTGCTGGCTTATTTTCAACCAGTCAAATCCATCGTCTATTTGAATCATGAGTGGTTCTTCTGGATAAAGCAACAGGGAAAGAGCATACGGTGATACTGTTGGGTTTTGGAAATTGATTAGTGCTAGATTATTTTCAACCAGCCAAACCCATCGTCTATTTGAATCATGAGTTATTCTTATGGAAAGCAACAGGGAGAGAGCATACGGTGATACTGTTGGGTTTTGGATATTGATTAGTGCTAGTTTATTTTTTCAACCAGCCAAATCCATCACTCAGTTGGAACACATTCTTCATTCTATCAAGTCATCTTTACGTTCTTAAAAAGCAGTAGGCACCGATGGGTGAACTTGACCACACACTCATTCTTATATCCAACACCACATGTGAATTTAGATGCCTTCCATCCACTCTTACTCAAGAACACTACTTGGCACTAATCATATGAGAACCTGACTTCACTGAACACTCTTTCCCTATCGCTCTCCTATAGCCAGCTTTAATAGCCCTCTTCACATGATCACATTCATGGAGATTGACCATAGTCTAGACTGAACTGGCCTTGAGATGGTTTGTTTGTGGAATATTGTTCTTGGTGGCAGATCATCTTAGTTGTCTCTTTGATGGTACAGTATCAGTGTCTTATTGCCAAAGGGGCAAGAGCTCTAAACCAGGAAAGAGACAAGGGTTGGGTATACTGTTTAGGGCTTTCAAAAGGTAAATGAAATGGAAGTGTTATAGGCAAGACATAACGTGAACATGGTGTTAGGCAATGATAGCTGACCTAAAATCTCGTGAAATGTAAAGCCTACAAGTATGAACATAATCATTATTCTTTCTTAAAGTTTAATAAAGTTACAAGTTACCATTCAAAAAGAGGAAAAAGAAAATACAACTAGCCCCTCCTAGATGAAAACTGTTTGCTGAAGTGGTGAAGTAGAAGAGTAAGAAGAGAAGAGAAGAGAGAAGAGAGCAATGTATGGGCAGCAATAACTTCTAAGCCAGCCCTAGAAACTAGAAACTTATATATATATATAAGTTCTTAGTTAGCCCTCAGTACAAAATAAAACAAGTTTAGGCCCAATAACTAAAGGCCCATAACAGAACACAAAACTAGAATATAGAATGATAAATAAGCCCACAAACACTCCCCCTCAAGCTAAGCATGGATGCCAGTCATGTTTAGCTTGCCAAGTAAGCTTAGGAACTTTATTGAAGACATGCCTTTTGTCAAAACATCAGCAATCTGCATCTCATCTCTGAGGGTGTGTAAGGAATGCAAAGTTCACCTGAGACAATCTCAATATGCTTAGTCCTATCATGCTGTACTAGGCCTTGTTGTCACAATATAGCTTAAGGGGACCATCAACTTTCATTCCTAGCTTGCCTAGGACTAGGAGAATCCTAAGCCACAATAGTGCAACCACATTTTGTTGCAACACCATGTGCCATAGCCCTATATTCAGCTTTTGCACTTGTTCTTGCAACCACATTTTGCTTTTTTACTTCTCCAAGTAACCAAGTTCCTCTCCAACAAATGTGCAATATCTGGAAGTAGACTTCCTATCTCCAATTGATCAAGCCCAATCGGCATTAGTATATGCTTCAATTTCAAGTTTATTGTGCCACTTGAATAGAATTCCTTTCCTTGGACATGTCTTCAAATACCTAAGGATCCTTTCAATTGCTTTCATGTGAGGAATCTTGGGAAAATGCATGAACTGGATGAGTAGTCCTCACCAATTGACTCCTGGAGACAATGGTTTTGCTCTATTGGTGTATTTGTTGGTCTACTCCCCATCTATTGGTGTACCTTTTTTTGCTCTATTCCTGTGACCTTACAACTTTAATCCCAAGGAAGTACCTTATATGGCCTAGATCTTTAATATCAAATTCAGATGCCAAGAACTCTTTCAATCTTTTTATCTCTTCTAGATCATTCTCTGTAATTACCATATCATCCACATGAGACTATGAGAGCTATAAGCATATTACCTTGTTTCCTTATGAACAAGGTGTGATCTGCACCACTCTGAGTGTATCCCGCTTTCTTCATGGCCCTACAAAGCTTCTCAAACTTGCTTAAACCCATATAATGCTTTCCTTAGCTTGCATACCTTCCCATGAAAGTCATAGCCAGGTGGAGGATTCATAAATACCTCCTTATGTAGATCCCCATTCAGGAAAGCATTCTTCACATTCAATTGATGTAGCTCGTAAGAAAAAATTGCAGCTAATGATAATAGAACCCAAATTGTATTAAGCTTTGCAACAAGAGCAAAAGTCTCCTTGTAGTCAATCCCCTCCTGAGTAAACCCTTTTTCCACCAACCTGGCTTTGTATCTTTCAATGGAGCCATCCTCCTTGTGCTCTACAGTGAACACCCACTTACACCCCACTGTGCTCTTCCCTTTTGGTAGATCCACTAAGTCCTAAGTCTTGGCTTTCATTAAGGCTTCATTTCCTCATTCATTGCCTCTCTCCATCTTGGATCAGACAAAACCTCTGAGTACCTGTAGGAACATGGACAGAAGAAAGAGCAGGCACAAAGGAGTAGTAACGAGGAGATACACAAGAATAAGAGACATATTTAGCAATGGGATGTCGAGTAGTACAAGAACGGACAAGCTTATGAAGAGCAATGAGAAGATCCAAGTCAGAAGTAGGAATGATAGCAGCTGTGATTGGGTTGCCTGGATCCGTTGAAACAGTTTGATCCGAGTCCAGTTGGTTGCTGCCACAAGTTGGAGGATCTCACTTCCTTTTCCTGTAGACAATTCTCATATCTCTCTATTGTCTATTAGCCACATCAGTCCCTTTCTCAACATTTGGAGTAGTAACAGGTTCAATAGGAGTCTCACCAGATTCACCTAGACAGCTAGAATTAGGAGGATTAGGAGGCGAAGGTGGAAGACTCAAAGCTGAAAGTTGCACAAAAAAGGAAAGGAAGGATCCTCTTCCATCCTACTAGTCTCTCCTTGAAAAGGATTCCTAGAGGACTGAAAATAGGGTTGAGACTCAAAAACACTATATCCTTGGTGACGTACTTTCTCTTGGTAATTGGATCATAGCACTTATAACCTTTTTATGTGGGAGAGTACCCTAGGAAGACACCCTGTATTGCCCTAGGGTCCAACTTTGTCTTTTTAGGATCCTTGACATGGATGAAGCACACACAACCAAAGACTCTAGGAGGAAGAGGAAAATCTTAAAGGTCAGGACAAAGGACAAAAAAGGAGTTCTCATACCCAACACCCTAGATGGCATTCGATTTATTAGATACAATGCGGTAAGGATTGCTTGAGACCAATAGTTCTTGGGAACCTTGTGTTGAAATAGTAGTGCTCGAGCTATCTCCAATAAGTGTCTATTCTTGCGCTCAACAACCCCATTCTGTTGAGGGTTACTAGCACAAGATGATTGATGCAAGATACCCACATCTTCCATGAATAGATTCAAGGAGCTTTCAAAATATTTAGCAGCATTGTCTGAGCGAAATTGCTTAATCTTTTTGCCAAACTGAGTTTCAATCATTTTATAAAATACTATGGTTATCCGTGGAACCTCATGCCCTTTTAACAAGTAGATCCATGTGCATCGTGAATAGCGATCAATAAAGCTAATAAAATAACGAAAGCCGTCTATAGAAACAAGGGGTGAAGAGCCCCACACATTAGAATAGACTAAATCAAAAGAAGCTTGAATTTCATTACTAGAAATTGGATAAAGAGTTCTACATTGTTTTGACAACTGACACACTTCACAAACCAAACTCTAACTTGAAACACACTTAAACAACTCATAAAACAATCATTGCATCAAAGAAAAAGACAAATGACCTAGCTTAGCATGCCACAAATGTAACCTAGTTACGGACTCCTCATTATCCTGACCACTGAAAGTAGATGACTGTAAGGCTGAACTGATGTTTGCATCAAAATAATAGAGACCTCCAGGCTCATGACCGCTCCCAATTGTTCTCTTCGTCAATTTGTCCTAAAACACAATGAGTAGGAAAGAATGTTATGCTACAGTTGAAGTTTTTTGTAAGCTTAGAAATAAATACTAGGTTTGAAGCAAGATTGGGAACATGCCGAACAAATTTAAGGGAGAGATCCTTGCCTAGGTTAACCTCCCCCTTTCTAGAGATGGTGGAGAAGAAACCATCAACTACTCTCATTTTATCTTGGCCAGACATCAAACGATAAGAAGAAGATAAAGAAGACATGTGTGTCATATGGTTGGTAGCACCGAAATCAATAATCCAAGAGTTAC